CTTTTGCATAAAACTCATGACACATGTCCACCAGTGGGTGACCTCAGACAGCTGTCGATCTCATAGACTCTGGGGAATCCGTCTGCCCAAACTGCCTTGTAACAAGACTTGAGGCTCAGCCAGGGTAAAGCCTCAGGTCCAGCTGGTCTGAATGAGGCACTTCTTTCCTGTGGAAGTTTAAAGCAGGGTCAGGTCTGGTTACAGCTGATGCAGCAACTTTGATAAAGTCATTTCCTTGTTTGCAATAAACAAACAACAAGTAAATACTATAATAAAAAACAGCCCATCAATCTGCTCTATCTTAACATCTCTCTCATTCAAAATCCCAAAGTAAACTTTAAAAATATCTAAAGGGCCAATACTATGTGTTTCTCAGGCATATATTTAAATACTATACCATAATAAAGTATCTATGTCACCTTTAGTTGTTATTAAAATGCTGTTTTTATGTTTAAATAGAAAATAAACTTATTTTCTCTTCACTTCCTCTTCTAAACACCTTGAGATTGGTCTCTGTCTCTTTAAGAACCACCTTCCCCTTCTAACCCGTCCCGTTCGGTGGGTGGGGGGTTTTGCACCCGGGGGCTCGTGCGTGCGCTACGATGCAGTTTACTTGGCATCTGAAAATATATTTCCTCAAAGATATTTTTAATCTGTAAAGAGCTTCACTGAGTGAGAACTAATGTTGAGAGCTCAGCAGACAGTTTAAGTTTCACTTTCAGTTTCATCTGAGAGCCTGCAGGAGTCATGGGTGGGGTGTGTGGGGAGTGGGGAGGGGGTGCACTCTGCCATGAGGAAGTTCAGCTTAAAGACACGTCCCAGGGGTGTTTCTGGTACCAAAAGGTGTTTCTGGTCCCCTTTGATTTCAGTCCCATCACTGACCTTCTCACAAACATCAGCTTCATTTAGTCCATTTCCATCTTCTGTTTTATCTTCTTTATATTCTTCTTCATTGTCTTCTTCGGGGGGTGTAACAGGTTGAACTGGAGATGCAGCTCTCTTGGTTTTCTCATCAACTGGTTCSTTGTAAGCAGACTGTTCTGCTTCACTTTGAGTATCTGATGCCTCAGGCTCCTCACTGCTCTCCTCACTCTCTTGTATCTCAGCTGCCACCTGGTTACTGCCTCGCTCCTCCTCTTTCTCATGCTTAGTGTTTTCCACCTCTGATGCCTCCTCTGAGCTTCCTGCATCACTCGTTGTCTCGCTGTCACTGGTCTCATTTTCAGAGTTGGTGGGGAGCTTCTTGTTGACCCTCTCTTGTGTTGATAGAAGTGTTTTTTGTGTCAGTTTGATGTGCTCGTTCTTGTCTTTTCTTATCTTTCTGTCCTTTTCATGCTGAGGTTGTGATTTACTATTTGAAACTTTTGCCTTTTCTGTTTGTGAATCAGTCCGCCTGTTTTGGTTTGTTTTATTCTTCTTCTTGGTCTTTTCATCAGCTGCCTTTCCATGTTTAGCATTTGCTGAAGTCCCTCTTCTGTTTTGTTTCTCATCAGAAGTCGGCTGCAGTGTTTTACGTGTTTTCTGTTTCACATTTCTTGGATGTTCTTGTTTTCTTTTTGAATCGGTGTTTGTAGAAGTGGTTCGATTTTGAGATTTTGCTGAAGGCATGACTGTCAAGTCTTCACAGTTGAAATGACCTGACAAGTACAGAAAAACAAAACATATAAACTGTCAAACTGTCAATAATGAGTATTTAGTATGGAGTGCCGTTTGTAAAGTTACACAGTCAAAAATTACCAACAATGTTTTTGTTTTATTTAGCCTTTTATAAGAAAAAAGAACAGATTTATTTTTCAAAGTCAGTTTTTCACCATATGATTCATACATTTATAAATGATCTGTTTTGAAACCTTTAAAGCTCTCGTCCTTGGCACAGTCTTTGGCTTCTTTATAAAACACTGGTTTTAAGCAGAGATAAGAAAAAAGTCCTCATAGTTTGAATCCAACATCTGATACACAATTAGCTGATGAAACTGAACACATTCAGACCTTGTGTTGGTCTTCTTAACAAAAAGGGAGAACAGTATTTACTAAAGACAGGAGGCTTTATTCTCATTGGCTGTTTTCACACATTTATCATTCAGAAAAAAGGACACCACAGCATTACAGGACTGACTGATGGAGTCTAGTAGCCCTCTGCTTGCCTATCTTGTCCATCAGCAGCAGCTCTCACCTTACCTCCACCATTCAGCAGCTGTCTTATGGACAACAGAAGAGCAGCTTACAGCAGATAAATAATTCAGAAGTCATTTTGTGTGTTGCAGTGCACAGCAGCTCACCTTCGTCCTTATTGTGTGTGAAAAATAAGTCTTTGTTGACAGTGCATAGCAAATGTGATGGTATGATGTTAGTGGGTGGGATATCATCTCAGTTCTACTGAGTGTGGGTGCATGTTTGCATCCATTACGGCACCTCCTGAGGACAAGCAGCAGCACTCTGCAGCCCCACAGTCATGCCTGGGTTTCACCTGAGAAGCTTGGTAAGCTTTACACTAACATGAGCTCTCACTGATTTCCCCCTCAGGGTGCAGCACTTATCCAATGAGGGAGCTAAAGACAGGTTACACTTAGATCTAACCTCCAGATAAAACCTGTTTTTACAGGAGCAGGTCAGCTTTCATGAAGCACTAAAGGAAATGTTGATGTTTTTGCACAGTGTATAAATGTGGGAATCTATTATGACTGTATTCAAGTTTGTCCCAATAGAGACTTTGTCAAACAAGAGATTTGTAAAATCAGGTCTGACTCAAGAGTCTTGAGGTTAGAAACTCAAATGTAAAACTCAGTCTAAATTATGTGGTGCCGTTTGTAAAGTCACACAGTCAAAAATTACCACCAATATTTTTGTTTTATTTAGCCTTTTATAAGAAAAAAGAACAGATTTATTTTGTCGGTTTTTCACCATATGATTCATTCATTTATAAATGTCATAGTTTATAAACTAAATATTTAACTTACAAATTAAATATTTAGTCAACAAGCTAAATATTTAACTTGTGACTTAAATATTTAGTTTTGAGCTGAATATTTAGGTTGCAACTTAAATATTTAGCTCAAAACTAAATATTTAGGTCACAAGTTAAATATTTAGCTTGTTAACTAAATATGT